TCTATTTTCATAGTAGGTTGGTAACAACATCTTTCTTCCCTGCGGGGCGGGCGGAAGCACAGCTGCTTAGTGAGCATTTTGGTTTTCCTGGTACAGTTATCAAGGTGAGTGAAACTGTGCACACATGGATTTGAGAAAGTGGACAGACTGTCAAATCCATTGATCAAATGTTCAGCAAGATAACAGCTGAAGATGATTTTCAATGCTGTAAGACAGACAGCTGTTAGTCTCTAATTCAACAGTCAATAGTGAATCTTCTTGAATCTTCTAACTGTTCTTTTGCAAAACACGTGTGCTCCTTGTTTTTACAGATGTTGGGTGTGTGTGTGTGTGTGTTTCTTCTTAATGCTCTTCAGCATGCACACATTCTCATCTCCCACCTCACTCTCCCAAATGCAATCATCTCTGCGCTGATTGACCTAAGTGATCACCATGGTTTCCAATTCAATTCAGGGTCCCCAAAGAGGACTTTTAATTAAGAAGCTTTAATAGAATCTTGGAGAAAACTTCTAAGTCCCCAGTCTTCAGGCTGTGAGCTACAGATCCCAGGGGTGTCAATGGCCAACTAGTACGAGACCCTAAACATGTCCTTTGCGGAACAGCAGTCATATCCTACGCAGAAATCTGCATAAGGAAATCTGACAGATGTAGACAACCCCTGCAAAATTCCTAGGGATCGCAAAAAGTTGAAAAAGCTCTGCAAGAGGCTGCTGTTGAGCAGCGGGTGGTGGCCGAGAGAGCGGTGAGCTGGAAGCAGGCATGCACAGAAATGTCGGAGCGTGAAGCTCTACCTACATTTTGTGCGAGGTACTCAGCCTAGCTCAAAGCAAGCTCAAGCACTGCTGCAGCGCAGGGCAGCTCTGCCGCTGCCACAGTCGCTGCTACTGCAGGACTTTGCTAGTGCTTTGCTGTATGTAAAAGCACACCTGTTTTGACAGCAAGACCCAAATTTTTTAAGAACTAATTTTTTACGCAGAGTGTGTTTGAGCCAGCCACAGACTTTAATCGCCGTCACCTGAATTGCAGGTGTGTACATGGGTGGGATTTCCACAAATACTTGGGACTGGTCTGTATTTATGTCAGTGGGGACAGTCCCACCTTGTGCGCGTGCGTGGAGCAGCGTATGCTGACGTTTCCTCAGCAGCTTGTGCTAATCTCCAGGAAACAACTTGTGCTTGCTGGACTGTGGATGTGATGTTTGGGTACATTGTGCAGAAGCACTTGAGAATGCTTTCACACCGGGAACTCCGGCATTAGCCACGTACGAGAACAAAAAGTGGGACTGGAAAACACTTCTAACCCTTTCAAGTATGGTATTTGCTGAAAAGCAAAGTTCCAGAAAACTGGAGCCCCATACAAACTTGAGATAACTTTGGTGAACAGTTCTTGGCTGGGAGACAAAAAGGAAAATTTAAATGTTCTGTGTAGATTGTTTCAGGATTAAACATCTTGAATTTTTGTTTCAAAATGCTCTCCCTTCTGGCAATTCTCTCAAAACTTCTGGTCATACAAATCTGAGTTATTGAAGATACTACTTGAGGACTCCTGTCAGAACAATATTTTGTTTAATTGGAAGGTTTTTATGCTCTTTATTTAGTTGAAAAATCTCTGAAGTTTTCCTTTGGAATGGAGCTTGAAACAAATTATGTTTTTTTCAGTTTATTACTTCTCGGTTAGCTGGCTGAACAGAAAGTGCTTTGCCAGTACCCAAGAGGGGACGATGGAAAACCAGAAGAAATTCATAAATACAAGCTTTGGTTGTGGTCAGTCAGCCCTTTAATGCAGCAGCACTCCAAGGCCAGACCTGGACCGCCTGTACAGAGGTACCTGTACCTTCCTGTACCTTGTAGGTGCCCCAACACGTGTCCAGTGTGGGCCACTCTGCTGATTTATAGAAGAAGTCGTATATTGTGCACCAATATAATGAGTGAGTGAGAACTTGCCTTGGTTCCCCTTCTGCAAAAGACACCTGAACAAGGTGGAGCAGAAGCCCTTTGTGGGGCCTGAAGGAGCTGTGCTGTTGTGCCCTGGCTGGGGCATGGCAGGGAGGCAGCGGCTGCCCCGGGACTGCGGAAAGGAGCAAAACCCTGAGTCATAGCAATTTAACCCATTCTGCACAGAAAAACACCCCTCTCTCCGGCTCAACTCCTGGCAGACTTGGTTTTCCATCTGGTGAAAAATGGGGATGAAATACCTCCCTTGCTACCTTTTGAAAAACACTTCGGTGTCCTCCAAGGAGATATCAGAGCAGCATCATTATGACTGGGAAATGAATTGCTCGCTTGCTGGATTTAGCAGCTTCCTGTTTTGGAAACCTGAGAGATCATCTCCAATTTCTGGTTGTTGTCAGCCTAGAAGAAGAGACTCCAAGGCTGCAAAGCCTCTGGTGAGGCAGCGCTGCATTTGCTAATTGTCTCTGCCGGACAATGCCATTTACACTGAGCACAAAACCACCTCTAACCTCCACTGACCAGCAAATCGTTGTATCCTTCTGAAACAGTACCCGGCGTGGCAAACTCGGGCTGTGCATGCCAGCTCCTCTCACAGGACAACAAAATAGAGGAATGTTTATTGCTGATTAATTTACAAACATCCCCGTTTCCAGGCCTAATTACTATATCGCAAGCAACTGCATTATAAAAAAGATGCCTGGCTTGTCATACATAATGTAATGAATCTTTTGCTTTGAGGACTGTGCTGTCCTTTGAAAGGCAATGAGCGCTGGGCACAGGACTGGGATCTGCCACAAGCAGGAAGGGTCTGGGCCCCAGGCTCTCAGGCTGGACTGGGGACTCTGGCTGTAGCACAGGGTAGGGGCAGGATTAAGGTTCAGAGGGGTCTTTGCAGTCGGGAGGCTGGCGAGGGGCTGCTTTACATTTGCTCCTGCTCTCACAGCCTGGGTTTTTTTGAATGTTTCCATCAGCAAAGCTGGTGAAGCTGGGGTTTGCCTCCATGAGAGCTTTTTGGCAAGGAAAATGTCTCCTATTTTACAGTTTTCATTGCTCTTTTGTTTTTTTTAGGACACGTCACAATGGTCGCCATTTTTGCTGGGTAAAATTCAGATGCTCTGTCTACCTGCTTCTCTTCCTCCACCAGCCAAATGATCATGGTGGCTACATTGGTTCTAAATGGGCTCAGATCTGAAAACAGAAGCTCTGCATGTTCAGGGGAATGACATGTAAGGGTTTTTTTCCTCCATAATTCAACACTTGCTTAACTCGGAGCACTGAGAAATCCTTTGGATCTTGCTCTTCAGTTGGTGGACCTGTGGGCACATTTTCATCTGCGAGATGTTGCTCTTTGTTTTGGAGCTGACATAGCAGAGGAAGCCGGCTTGACAGCCACGGCTCAGTTAAACGCTGCAGTGACTGCTAACAGCAACAGAATGAGCCAGTGACACCTAGGTCTACATTCTCTAACACACCAGTCTTTAAAGATCTGTAGGCTGTGTGCTTTTTTTTTTTTTCCTTGTTCCAAAGACTGGTTCAGGCACAGCTGACTGGGATGTGACATCTCCCAAGGGATGTGGTTAAAGACAAAGTCAACATTGCTGCTTTGGCGACTCCACAGAAACCTGACAGCCAGAGCCTGTTGTGGAAGTATCTGGGCAGCAGCGATGCTTCCTATCTCTTCCTTTGCTGTTTATGGGACTGCTAAATATCCGGGCTTCACACGAGGCAGGGATACACTGTATGTATCTGAGTTGGTTTTTCCCATTCTGCAGCAGAAAGACAGAAGCAGAGGTATGAATAAATTATTTAAAATTATATAAAATATATAGTAAATTATTAAAAATTGATAAATTATTCTTAATGACCTTTCAAGAGTATAGTGTCAAAATTACCACTGGTTCTCTGCAAGAGGACAAGTGATTCTGAATTAAGGGTGAGAGTACCCAAACTGTCTGGAGCTCCTCCCAGCAAAAGGAGGGGCAAAAAAGGCTTATTTCTTCCCATTTAAGCAGAAAGGGAATATTAAACACCTGTGTGATGTGGAGAGGAGAACAGGCAATGCACCGGCGTTAGGATAGAAGCAAAGACGAGCAGTCTCCCTCCGAGGGGACCCAACATTGAAATTCTCCCATTTTCGTTGGGGTTCACTTGCATGCCTCCACTTAGGCCCCTTCTCGGAGGGGCCATGGCAGCCTTCTCCCCCCCTCCGTCCCCACAGAAACCCCACACCCACTGTATCGTGGGAAAGAGGGGGAAAATGTCAGAGCTAGTATTTTGTTTGCTTCAATTTCCAGCTTTTAAGACTTTGTACTAACAGCTGAAGGACTTAATTCTGTTATTGCCGCAGAGGAACCTCGTTCTGCTTGAGTTACACGGAATACACTCGTAAACCAAAGTAGCCACAGTTATGAAGAAATGCTCTTCAAAAACGTTGTCCTTAATCTCATTTGAGTATGAAACTAAGGGGCTGGCTTTTTAAGAAGGCCCTCTTGAATCTTGCCCAAAAAGATGATTAATGTGTAAATGCAAAGAATGGTCTGGAAGCTCTTGAATGGAGACATTTTGTTTCCAAATAACCACAGGAGTAACTGTTTGTAGGAAAAAGATGATTAATGGCATTGTGGCCAAAATAAGGTGAGTCCCTAAACTTGACAGCACGGTACTGTGTACATATTACTTCACTGTTAAGAGTTTCTCACACTACCTTTGTTTATTTTTCCTGGAAGACACACAAGAAAAGCATGATGCTCGCTTAAATCTCCATAAATCCAAACATCTGAACCTACATTACTCCTTTTTCCTGGCTCCGTTCCTCTCTGAAAGCATGCTGCCTGCATGCTCGCTCTCGTTTTTTCCCATGAACTACAGGGTGTAGGCCAAAATACCCTTTGCGACTGGTAACTTGCTGGTCGCGCTAGGTTCCAGTTAATATAACAAATGGTTGTTTCATAATGCTTGAAGTATCTGTCATCTGCGGCGTGAATATATGAAAAGTCCTGAAATCGGCAGGAAATAATGAGGAGCCTTTTTTGTTTTCCACAGGGTCGCTTTTATTCATCTGGTGAAAACATCTTAGGACAACAAAAGTTAAGCCACATGGAAAACCGCTTCCAACAACTGCATTAACAGCATTCAAGTGGTGGGTAGGAAACGCTCGTACGTGCGAAAGCCGAGCACCTCCCCGTGTGCCAGCTCGGCAAGGTTCGTACTCGTATCATCACGGGCTGCTCCGCAACGCTGCCGTCTCCCGCCCCTGTCAGTGGTTTTAGCTACCGACTGCTGTGTGTTTCTGTGGGGGAACGAGCTGCATCTTTTTGCATCCAGTTACTTGGGAACCTGCCTTGGTCTGCTGGAGCTGACGGCGCGAGCCAAGTTCATTAAAGGCAAAGTCGGAGGAACCATCTCGGCAGCCGCTGGGTCAGCGGTTACCTCCCCTCCTGCCCACATCGCCGAACTGCTGGATGTTTCAGCTTCTCGTTTCTAAGAAAATAACTCTTTTATCTGCCCGTGCACTGATACCCTGCAGCACTGAGCAGCAGCTTTACATCAGGGAGACCGTCACCTGGAGCCAGGCTCAGGGAATGGCCAGGGGGTTGGTTACACCAGCACGAGCGAGGGGCTGCTGGTGAACAAGACCGTGCCACTGGTGGCATCAGCCACCTCGCCGGTGAGCGCAGGCAGCCGGGCAGTGCCGCTGGGCACCCAGACGGGCACCGCAGTTGTCCCCTTGGGCAGAAAGCAGCTCTCCTTAGCCCAGTGTGTGACATGCTGGGGGAGGGAGAGACGTCTCAGCCACACACACTCGTTGCGCAATTGTCAAACATGCCTCTAATACAATTCTGTCAGAGGCGATCATCGCTGCAGCGCGGTCGCTCTGGGAAGCCTTCCTCTCCTAGGCCCAATTGCAACTATCAAATCTCTCTTGGTTTGGCTGAAAAAAGACCACGGCAGTGATGTCTTTTCACTAAAAAAGATTGTTACCCACTCTGCTGCCATTAAAACGAAACACAAACTAGCCAAACTCTGTCTTCACCAAGGCCCTCTGAAAATGGAACGGTTTTTTGGATAAAATAACTGTAATTCGAACTGCAGCAGTCAGTGCTGTGCCTGCGTTGGTACCCAGCCAGTGAATTTTAAAGTAAACACCCTCCAGGACTGTTCTCCATTTGGATTTATTAGTCATTACCAAGAAAAGATAATTAGCACTTCTGAAGCGTTGTGATAATCAGTAGCATGAACTGTTACCAATAGAAACGGACCGGGGTACTTGTGCAGTGCAGGAACATGGCAGCGCCGTTGTACTCCCTGTACAGAACGAGTACACCGGTGGGCAGATCCTCAGCTGGAGGAAACGCTCATAAATACCAACAACTCCAGTGGAGCTAATGACAGTTTACATGGGGTAAGGCAGGGAGGGGGGGTTGTTCCCTGGCCTGTTGGGCTTCTCCTTCTGTTATCCTGGAGGCAAAGCCTTTTTTTTTACAATATACAAACCTTGTCGGTCAAAGGCAACGGCAAATACTACTCCTTTACTGCACAACAGAAAAATAGGAGCTAATTATTTTTATTCTGTATGCACCCTGCCAACACAAAGGAAAATAACCTTGTAGTGGAACAAGAGGAACACGGGTGTACCTGGATCCTTTAGGCAACGATGCCTTTTTTTTTTTCTCTTCCTCTTCCTAAACTAATGAGAAAACTCTGTTGGACTCAAGCCGGTGCTAAAACTCACAGAACTGGCATTTCACTTTTACTGTTCCCCAAACTTCTATTGCTTATGATCATCTGTAATAATCATACGAGGGACAGGATGTAAATCTTCTGTTCTTAGCCTCAAACCCTGAGCAGTAAGCATGCCAGGCTCCCTGCTATACGAAGAAGTCTTATTTACTGAGCCCAGGGAAGCAGGCCTATGACATTCATCAACGTTGCTCTCTAAATAAATACTACAATGCATAGGCTTGTCTGAAGTAGTTGTCTTTGTTTTTCTGTACCTGGAAGTATGAACAAAATCCATGCTGAAGAACAGAGGTAGCATGTGAGCTTGGGAAGGCTTCCCTTTTGGTGAGCACTAATAACAGCATAGCTAGAGGATCTACCCCCAAAATATGTGCAAGTCTGCAACAACCACCCTCTTTCCTGCACTGTGCAGAGCATTTCAGGCCAATATAACATGTCCCCAGCCAACAGGTGCTTCGTATCCTCTGGGAAGCATGCAGCAAATCTTGGGATTGAGTCCGGTGTGCATGCAAAGTCTGCAACTGCTGTAGGGGCTGTGGTGTGCTGTGCTGGTAGAGGGTACCTTGCCCATCTAATTCCTGTTGATGCTGATGGCACTTACTCGTGTACGTCCTCCTTGCCATGCCTGGAGCAGAGGCTCTTAGGGCTGCAATTCCAGTGCTGGTAACGCTCGTTAATGCACACGACGAAAACGGGACCACCCGGGCAGCACCCGACTGGCTGGCGCACGCAGGGTACTCAGGCACATTGGCATTGCTCCTAGGACGACGACTGCTGTGGCAAGTCTGACTGCTGCTGAGACAAAGTTCGCCTGATGGCAACAAATGTGCTGTGCTGGTGGCTGCTTACCAGCTACGCATGCAGAAGTAAATGGGCCTGTGAGTGTTTGCTTCTCAGCTGCTGCTGGGAAACAGGCACCTTCCTGCTGGGTGACCAACCAGCTCTGCTACAGACCTCTTAGAGGGGTTCCTCAGCCCCAGAGGCGGATGCATAGCTTGTGCTCAAATAGCTGTCTGGTACGCAGGTGTTGCTACAGCAGCGCTTTACAGAGATATGTTGCACAAAAAGCGGTGACATCGAACCAGACTGAACCATTTTTTTGTGTCTTACACGGAAAGCTCGCTCCCGCCCTGGGAACTGTGGAGCAGAACAAATATCAGAATATAACATCTATCTATATAAATCTACTTAAGTCTATGGTCAGATTGCATCTGACTGTGGAACAGGGTTTAAAACACCTGGGTAACAATTTACATATTATGTCAACAACAACATTCTCTGCCCCTTCCCTTCCCTTTCCCACCTGCAGCGCAGAGCAAGCCAACTTCGCAGCAGCCTTCCCAGCAAAATGGGTCTCTGCTGCATCTTTCTGTCTTCATGGAACTCATTTAATTCTGGTATTTTAACACCTACTCCTTCCTCTGCTGCTGGTGCTATTGCAAACGAGAAATGCGGCCGGGTAACACTGTCTCCTTGGAAACCTGCGTCTGGCCTAAAAAGCCCGGGTTTGGTGCATGTGTGGCACTGGAAAGCCAGAGACCTCATGGGCTGAGCACCTTTCAGGCTGGGCTGCTTTCCCTCCAGATCCCTCGGTGAACAGAGGAATAAGCTGGGCTATTGCACCAGCAAGATTTAATGGGAAAAAATATAATATATTGGCCTGGGAGTGCAACAGGCTGCTGAGAGAAACCTGAGGGCTGTGTGCTTCCGAGGGGAGGCAGGAGCTGACGCTGCCTGGGGGCAGGAGCTCTGCGATGGTGCGGTCCAGGAGCAGCACGCAGGGCCCACCACTCAATTAGCCTGCAGATTTCCACAGAATTGTAAACAACGCCGACTTCAAGTCTGCTGCCAGAGCCTCTGGCTCTTTTAAGAAGTAACCTCTACTCATTTATTGCCCGAGGACATTATTATTTCCGGAATGAACTAGTTGTGGATCACAATACTGGGCAGAATCGTAGTACAAAGTGTGTTTTAGTGCAAACCTACTTACAAACTAGTCACAAATCTTCTTTGGACAGAAACGGGCACAGAGCCCGAACCTTTTGTGTAGAAAAGTGCCTGCAGCTCATTTCTGCATCATCTTCATCTTGGGACTGGTCTGGATGGGGATGGCTCTCGTGTGTCGTGTGACAGCACGGTCCAGCTCCGCCTCACTGCCGAGGCCCCAGGGAGGTCAAGCACAGCTACGGAGCAGCTTAGCAGGGGGTGCGCCCCCTGCCCCGGCCCTGGGGGGGCTGCGCCGATTAAGAGGTCTTCAGGTGGCTCTGAAGAGATCACTCTTACATCCGATATGGTACACCAAATGATCCCACTCTGCCGAAGGCTCAAGTCCGTACCTCTCATGTGAAATTTCTACAGACAATCCCAAGATTTGGTTTTAAGAAAGAAGTAGTTCGTATATACACATACTGCCTTCAGCATACTTTCCCTTAAAATACTGCTGCCACCCTTCATATCATGAAAAGACAGCTATGGAAATGCTTTGCACCAGGAATGGTAATGCAGTAAAGCACAGAGTTCAGTCACTATATACTGGTAATCGCTATATTCCTCACTAAAAGTGATGCAATAGGTGATTAATAAGAATGAAGCTCAAAGTTTATAATTAGCTACTTCATGTAAGCCCTTTCAATAAATAGGTAATTGGAGACACATATTTACAGGCTTTTAATACTAGTTCAAGTGCGAACTGATTTGGTCTTTCAGCTTTTGTGAATCATACTGCAATAGCAGCTTTTAAAAAAAAATTTATTTTTAATTTAAATTGGTCTAGGCAAACGCCACACTAAATATAGTGAGCATATGCAGTACATAAGAGCCAGGCAGGAAAAAGGATTATCAAAATAGCTGAAATAATTTTGTAAACGGCGTATACTGCATGTCTATATGGGTTTAATTGTCATTCCTATCCTGCCAGATCTGCGTGGAGGCAGCCGCATGCTTAAGCACAACTTGGTCAAGTTACTTGGTGCATTTACTCCTGTTTAGAGCAGGTTGGGGCTTTAATTCAGGGCTTGGGGTTTTTATCTTTAATAAAAATTGAAAGGTGCAAGTGCTTAGAACAGCTGTACCCTAGCATGATCTATTCTACAGACAGTCACCTTGAACCAGCACTTTGGAATAAGCCTTCCTATTAACTTGAACAGGGCGTGAGCCAGGCACCTGTGAAGAAAAAGGCATTCTCTGTTTCTGCCTGTTGCAAATCCTTCTACAGTTAGGCTTGCCTCAGCTACGTGTGTAGACCTGAGCCCCATCCTGGAATGATTTTACCCAGTTCCAGGTTACAATGGCACTTTTCTGTTGGGCTTTTTCTTTATTTGTTTGGTTTTGGTGTCTGTCCATGGAATGAAGGTCCTTAGATGCAGGGCAAAGCTTCAGAGCTCCCTGGGTATGACAGTGAATGGGATGACAGGGCTGCTGGATTCCAGGTCCAGAGCGGTGAGGAAGCATTCGATGGCTGCTTCGTTTTTCCCCTGAGCTTGTAAGACCTCTCCAAGGCTGTTCCAGGCCTTATGACTGGTGGTCTGGATCCGGATGGCATCTCTGAGGACTTTCTGGGCCAGGTCCCTCCGCCCAAGTCTGCTCAGCACCAGGCCCTGCCAAGAAAGAAGTGACGAGCAGTTAACAATGGCACGAAACAGAGGAAGAAAGGGAGTCCCCCCGAGCCCCCAGCAAGCTGGGCAGGGGTGCGAGTGCGGGCGCAGGAGTCCTACGGGGGGGATCTCCACCTGTTTCTGGAGAAGAGTATTGATCAGCTGTTCAGCTCTGCTTTTCTTGATTGTGATGTGCAATTTAAATAAACAACTGTGAAAATTTTTTTTTTTAAGCAGAGGCTGATTTGGCTCTGCAAGTGCTCCTGCTGCGTCTTACTGGGAGAACGTATACCGGTGCAACATAGAGAAAGGCTACAGGCCCTTTAAAGCATCCTTCTCTCCTTGAGTAGGTTACACTGGCTTCTAGTCCCCAGGAAAATATACTACAGGTTCAACTACACTGAGTATCTAAATAAGGCTTGCATATCTGCAACATCCAGCTGGGGCTGAGATGAAGTCTCTCAGCTCTTACACTTTGACCATATAGAAAGACTTTTCCTCTTGACCAGTGGGGCTAGAAGGAGGTGGCCTCCTCCCAGCCTTCTAGGGGCAGGTGGTATGTAACAGCACGTGGCCCTCTGTCCTCCTGCTATTTGCACTCCCATGTAGATCCTAAGGCAGTGGGGGGGGGAGGAGAAGGATGGAGGAACCTTGTTTAAAAAGCTGTCCTTAGGGTAAGAAAAGACACAAGTGGGTGTAACCATCTGGAAGGAACAGGAGGGGGAGGATGAAAGAAGTGGTAGGAAGAACATGTTTTCCTATAGGGCTCACATGGATGCATCTGAACCCACAAAGCATCTCATGAGCCAGACTCCCTTTTAATTATACAGCAGCCAGCCCCACCGAGCCCAGATGCTTACGTGGGCTTTGCAGGCCACAGGGCATCAGTGGCGTTTTTCTGCTTCCTCCTGAAGGCGCATACACCAGGATGAGCCTCCCACGGGTCACCTCCAGGTGTGACCTGGGGAAGAGGCAGCCAAGGCTTCCATCTCGCCTGCCAAGCTCTGCATGGCCTCCGCCTGCACTCACCCGCGGAAATGCTGGAAAGCGAGATGACCGCCTGACTTCATGCCTTTCCTGGGGCTAGGTAGTATGTGGATGCAGTCATACGTAGGAGGAAAAGCATTAGCTTCACCTTCAATGAGTCCAATTGCCTTTAGTTGATACGAAAAGACATAAGAAACCTGAAATCTCTTGCAACCAGAACCCAGGTAAATTTCTGATGAAAGAACGGTGATGCTTTTGGAAGTAGTGAAGATCTTGCCTTTGTTTTGTTTTGCTTGTTTTTCCAAAAGTGCTGTTAGAAGCAGGGTGCCCCAGCGTGACTAAGACCCTATAGCCAGTGACAGTGCCAATACCTACAGAAACACATTACTTTGCTTGAGAGAAAAATTAAGAAACACCCATGTAAGCAAGTAACGGCAGTACTGTGAAAAGCTCCACTGCCTCTTTCCTGTCCATAACCTTGACCTGAAGAATCAACTCAGTATCAAATCTGACCATCTGAATATGCAGCGGGGATGCTTTTTCTTTAGGTTTCTCTCTCTCTGTTGGAAAATAGGGAGGCAATGGGGCCTAATCCTACCATCCCCTTGCGAGCAGGCACTGGTGGCACAGAGGTACCCCGATGGGAGAGGCTGGTTCCTTTGGAGGTAGCTGCCTGGAGATGACTGCAGGCACGTAATGACAGACTGGAAGGAATTTGTGCAACTATAATTTGAGTCACCCGCTTGACAGGGATAATGAGGCACAGAAAGGGCAAGTAGCATGGCCACGGCAAATCTGCTGCCGAGCCAAGAATAGACGGGAGCTATCTCAGCTCAAGTTTGTCCTCAACCACAAAACCACTCTTCCTAAAAACTCTTCCCATTGCGGTGACCAAGCAGAGCCAATTGGGCTCTCTGGTGGCCGGGGACCCATCGCTGTCCTCACCCCGACACGAAACGGCACCAAACCCCTTGACGGTCCCAGGGGGCTGCTGGCCCTGGAGGCACAGGGGCCAGGGAGCCGGTGCAGCTGCTGCCTGTCATCCCTCTCCAACGAGGAGGGGAATTCCCTCCCCGGCTGACATCTCGCGCCTCTCAACAATGCTGCAGTGAAATCCACCTCATCGTAAACCCCTCGTGCGGCCCAGCTCCCTCGGCTGCCCCAGCACCCT